CAGGTAAACTCCAGGTAAACACGACAAACTCAAACCACTCCGTATAATTTAAGTTAAATGTGAAAGACATGGGAGTGATAATGTCAGATTTCAAGTTCTAGGACAAAAATGTTATTGTAACTGCAAGAAAGATGATGGGTTGGTTAACTAGAACCTTCAAAACAAGAGATGCCAAGCCATTGATGATACTCTTCGGGTCACTTGTTCTGTTATTTTCCTATTAATTCCGCACATCATCCGCAAAGTTTGACACCGGATTTAATTTTATTAGGCATGTCATTTATGTGTATTAGAGTATCAGGGGATTCACGTACTGATCCGTGATCACTATGAGGGTAGAAGAAGTCTAGATAGTCAAAGGCCATCCTCTGACTATCTAAAAAAGAAACTGCTAATTGTGTTTTTTGAAAGACCTTGTGTACACGCAGAAACATACATAATTGTGTATATTTGGAGACCTTATATGCAAGCAAATATATTCTGGCAATGTATTTGCCTTTATGTATGGAGAATATTCAGGTGTGGCAGACAGCTCTGAGGTGGAAACCAGTGCTATTATGTCCTTAAGTTTGTATTAATATTTAAGTGATATTCCTTTCAATAAAGAATACTTTAGGTGTGTCGCTCCGGTCGTAATCATTCTGCCAGGCCTCCTTGGCCTGCACAGCCTTCTCTCTTGCTCAGTTTTACTGTCCTATAATGCTTTACACCCTTTTCTGCCCCGTCATCCTCTCTACTTTGCCTTACCACCTTTCCTGCTGAGTCCCCTGTCCGCTGACCTACCGTGCCCGCCCACTGGCCTGCCCTGCTCCACAGCTGGCCAGCGTATCACTCGTCCAGTACCACCACCCTGTTGCTTACCACTCTTATTTGAAATTTCCTGTACTTCTTAGGAAACGAGATCCTCGTACAGGGAAGGTTGCTAGTGGCGTTGGATTACGTCAGTGGCGCGTGGTGAGAGAGGAGAGGGGGAAGGAGGGGAAGGGACTGAGCGGGAGGGGGCTTGGCTAGTATAGGAAGAGATGGTACTGGGGCGACGGGTGGGGACCAGGGTAGAGTGAGGCGATGGGGTAGGGGTTGTGTGGGAGGGGAGGTGTGATAGGCGCCGTGAGATGTGGGAGGGGGATATGATGGTGCTGACAGCTAGCATGGAGCACACTTACACCAATCAAGAGTAAGGGCAGTGACCGAGCGTATCACTCCTCGTACCCCCGCCCGTCCCTCTGCCACCCCTGTGAATGTCATCGTCACACTGTTGCAATCCAGAGTATGTTTTACGCCTCGTGTTATGAAACTTGACGGTGTTATAAAGAGCTGGCTGAGGAGCGCGTAAACCCACACCCGATCTTCTTTACGTCTGGGTGATGTCTGCTGCGGCGCGCGTCCTCAACCCCCTCAAGGTCACATGATGCGCTGGTGACATCACTGCTTGGCTACCGGCTCCACCAATGAGCACCGAGAGAACGTTGGTAGGCGGAGCCGGCCTAGCTAATCAGCGATGCTGGCTGGCGTGACGTAGCTGCTTCATAGAGGAAACCCACCAATACACTGGTCGGAAACTGCTGCTGCTGAAGGCTACTGGCATACATGCTCCTACGTAATATTTATGAAATTCTGCCGGTGTTGCAAGAGATCAATTGAATAAGCGGATACACGCGGGCTGTTGCACGACACCGGTCAGAGTTCACTAACCAGAAAGCCACAAGCACAGAGAAATACTTGGTAATATTCGATTGTGGCCTCTGGCACTAGTTTAAAAGGCCACAAATTGAAGAATGTTGTGTGGTGGGTTTAGAGCCCTCACATGCTCTTCCTTACAGCATACTGCTCACCTTACCCTGGGAGAACTTTGGCCTCACCAGGAAACCTAATGTTGACGCTTAATCTCTCTGATGTGGGAGCTGTATAGTCCTTGTGGCTTAGCGCTTCTTTTTGATTATAATAATAAATCTGATGTGGGAATGAAATTTTTGAGATTTGTTTTTTTAGAGGACTCTCCTCTCTCTCTCTCTCTCTCTCTCTCTCTCTCTCTCTCTCTCTCTCTCTCTCTCTCTCTCTCTCTCTCTCTCTCTCTCTCTCTCTCTCTCTCTCTCTCCTCCCTCTCCCCTCTCTCTTTCCCCTCTCTCTTTTCCCCTCCTCTCTCTTTTCCCCCCTCTCTTCTTTCCCCCTCTCTCCCCCTCTTTCCCTCTCTTCATCCCTCCCTGTGTACAATATTCGTCTTCAGCATTATTGTAGCAATATATTGACCACTGAGGTTAATATTTACTGCTGGCCGCTTTTCCAAGAATTTCATTACTGGGATATCTTCACTCGGTCACATGACTGGTCTTTCAACTTTTTTTTTTTTTTTTACTACGAACAATCTTTGCGCAAGTTTAGAGCTGAATGGGAATGTAACTATTTCCTCTCTGTCCTTGATATTCATATTCTCAGCTCTGTAACAGGCTTTTTATTTTTCGTTTACCAGAGGGAACTGATAAGGTCCTCGAGTTAGTTTCTACTCAGAAGGGCTCTGCTAGCAACGGTGACTGAATGCAGCTATAACAATCTTATTGACCAAAGTTGCCAAATTACAAATTTTATGGCAACCCAAACCAGCTTGGATTTAGAGAGGAAAGATGTGCCTGTCTCAGCTGCTATACCACCGTGAAAATTACGAAGGTACTGGAAGAAAACCAAAACTCAGATGTGATGTACACGGATTTCGCAGAGACTTTTGATAAATGAGATCATGGGATGATTGCACATTATATTGATGGAACTGGTCACTCCCTTTTTGACATTTAATGAACACCTTGCTGACAAATAGTGCTAGTTTCCATCAGGTCAGATACCAAAACTTAACACACTGCCAACTTATACCTAACCCCACTCAGCTTGGGAGAAGCCATTGATAGTATGCTCATGCACTGTACCCAAGGCCCAGATTTGTGGAACGTCATATTTATAAATAATTGAAGAAACTTACATACCTTAATTATCCCATTAAGACAAATTCTGGACACACCAGGCATCTACGTTTGGACAGTTGAAGGGTTAACAACAACAGCACTACTCTTTAAGGCACTATGGATTTAAAGCAGGTCGCTCCTGCCTCTCACAACAAGGGCCTGACGACATGGTCTTGGATATATGGAAGACAAACCAAATGCAGATGTAACATACACAGACTTTGCAAAAGCCTTCAACAACTGCGATTGTGTAATGGTATACACGATGTGTGCAAAATGAATAACGTGGGCAAGAGAGAGAATTATAATAATCACTTGGAAAATTTTAGGAAGATTAATAACAGATCTGCACACACAAATCATTCCCCACGAAAGTACGAGGCTTGTCAGATGGTGCAAAATACTCCAGTGAAAGATAGGGGTGCAGAGAGTGCACTTAGGGAAAATTCAGTAAGTGTGAAGGGACGAAGACTTTTCAGTGTCCTCCCTTGACACATAAGGGAAATTACCAACATAACCCTGGAGAAACTTCTCAAGACAGTCCATCATTAACCGGGTTGTGGCAGGTCACTAATGTTTAATACAAGAAAATGTCCCTATCTTGCCTGATATAAAATGTGCTGAGCACAGTAATATGTTTTCAAGAATTTTTCCTCTCGGTTTTTTTTCTTTTTACAGAAATAAATTTTATAGGCTAAGAGCTGTTATCCAACCTCAGCTCATTTCATAGCCCCAGCCTCATCTAAGATGTGACAAACACACCTGCCTTCTCGCCTCTGATAACTTTTCACAAGCAACACCTTGGTTTTTTATCACTTAAATGTTTCTCGCCTTTGGACCTATTAGGACAACCATCCGTAACTATAACCATATTGTTTTAGTGTTAGAAACAAATTAACTAACTGTAAATTATCAAATAATTTGTAAATATATTACACTTTTAAACATGTGTTGTGGGTTAAGCGCTTAGGTTTAATTGTAATAATATTAAACCTGTATATTATGAGTTGTAACCAAACCATACCCCCGGCCGGGATTGAACCCGCGGTCATAGTCTCAAAACTCCAGCCCGTCGCGTTCAGACCGCGGGTTCAATCCCGGCCGGGGGTATGGTTTATTTGCAATCGTGTCATTACGATTTCTTGAGTCGAGTTGTAACCAACTTGGCCGATCCGGACATTGTTCAGGTATACCGTTGTAGCCCAGCAACATCACTAACACCACCACCACCAACAACAACAACTACAACACTAACAACAGAATCTCCAACTACAATACAGCTCCAACAACTATAACAACACCTTCAACAATTGCAACACTAACAACAGCAACACCACCAACAATAGCTACAACACTTCCAACAATTACTGCACTAACAACACCAACAACTAAAATAACAACACCTCCATCACTAACAACAGCAACACCACTGCTACTACTACTTTGTTTACACATGGGTGCCCCCTCCCTTCCTCCACTCATTTGTCTCCCCTCTCTTTCTTTTTCCTCTCATCCCTCCCCTCTCTTCTTGTATTCTGATGTTCCTAGTAGTAGTACAGCATTCAGATTTTTATTTAAATACAGTTATTAACTTGTATTTAATAGTTTGTGTATAAAAGCATACTGGTAGTGACTCACAGCAGTTAGGCTTCAAGTGGTCTGAGAGTCTCTCGGGCCACTGCAACCTGCAACCCAATAATAACAACACATGAAGTAGGCGGAGAGGTTTCCTACACTATTTTTTATTTCATTATTTTGATATTTTTAGAATTTTGGGTAGCTTGCGTTTATTAGACGTTTGGGCGGGTTGTTACTTTTTCTTTTTTATAAAACCTTGTCTTATGATATACACATTCTTTTTACACTTGTAGATTGGTGTAGTGCTCCTGCTTTGAGGAATTGGAGCTTCTCTTCATTTTCTTAGATCAGACCTGATTATTTCCCTTTCCTCAGACACTGTGGCCTCATACAGAGTTTTACAGTAATAATAATAATAATAATAATAATAATAATAATAATAATAATAATAATAATAATAATATGTTACAGGCAGTGCACGTGGAGGGGCAGCTGGAGGCAGAGAGCTTCAGGTGTCTCTGGGTAGGCTGTAAGGTGTACAACAAGGCCTCGTGCTCTGTATCGTGGTTGGAGAGACATGTCCTCACCCACGGTGGACACAAGCCCTTCAAGTGTATTGTAGATGGATGCGGCCAAAGATTTACCTCCCAGGTTAGTGGTAACCAAGACATGCTTCTTGAGTATATTTACTATGTCTCACAGTCACACCCCACCACTTTTCAAAAGACTCAACTTGCTAAATATACAAGACATACACTCTTATTATTGTGCCTACTACATATACAGAACTTTAAACTCCACTGTAAACCCTCCCCTAAAACTACTACTCGACAGTTACAACAGAATGCACAGTCACAATACAAGGCATAAGGCACTTTTCAACATCCCTTGAGTAAGACTCACTATGCAAGAACGCTATGCACATAAAAGGCCCGAAGATCTGGAACTCGCTACTGGAACAGGTCAAGGATCTCCAGACAGCTTATAAATTTAGGACTGCTAAAAAATCATCTTGTCTCGCAATATTAACCAATTCAACCAAACATCTACTGACTAGTTTTATCATGTGACCACCTGGCTTTTAATTCTGCCATTCCATAAAATATTACCACCTGCACCATTCCTTGTAAATTAGATTTTGTACTAAGTATACATAAGATTTATTAAGTCCAAATAAGATTGTAAAACAACTAACCACTATTCCATGTTTAGTTTTAAGTATAATTACTGTGTACTATTCTCTTATCTAGTTTTAATTAGTTACTATGTATTAGGATTAGTTTGCCTGAAATGCCTGGGCATGATAGTGGCTATCTTTGTACTTAGCAAATCAAAATTGTAATTACACATTGTAACCTTTACAAAGAAATAAACTTATTATTATTATTTAGTTAACTGATGGAGGATTGAACCTTCATCACACCTTTACACTGAATAGCCCACATGGATTAATTACTTAACATATATCATTAAGTGGTGGATAAATATCACTAATAGGGTCAAATATGGAATAAGACTTGCTCTAGCAATATTCTTTGAGTGGCAGATTAATCAGCTTGTGATAAATATGTGGACCATTGCAACAGCATGGTTGACAAGGCAATCAAGAGGGAGACCAAACCCCAGGTGGGGATGCTAGAATATAGAAACCTCTCTTAACTAGTCACAGGTAAATTTTAGGTATTTGCAAAAATGAATAGAAAATGGCATTACATGAATAATATATTTTATGAAGAGTACTAAACTTGTGAGGAACATTCAGCATTAAACCCATGAGAGACATTCACCATTAAATCTGTGAGGGACCTGAAGCTGTAGGGTGGAGAGTGCTGCACAGTTGAGGTTGAATGCAGGGTGTGGAAAGAAACATCTCAGTAATGTGATACACAAGTGTTTGCATCAAATCGGCTGTGGATAAAATGCTGTAAATAAGATTTGCATTAGCAGTGGAACCTTCAGAAAGGAAGGCAGACAAAGTGGCCATGTCAGGGAATTGAAAGTTAAATTAAAGTCCACTGAGTGGCCCTTAATGGTTTAGTGCTTTCATTGAATATTATTATACATAAACTCTACAAAAGCCAATGTACTCTTTGATAAATTGGGTGCTCTATCAAAATATACTGATGTTGGCTTAACTGCAATATATTCTGTACATATGTTTGCAGAGAATTCAAAAGTATTGTGCAAAATAGGCATAACTATTCAAGAAGAGGTGACCACAGGTCACCTTAGCCACACAGTCTTGGACTTGGCATCTTAAGTCGACAGCCTGGTCAGCCAGACTCAGCTAAGTGTCAGTAATATTTTTCCTCCATTTTAATAGATGATCCTATCTCTCTCAGTACAGTATTATAACACAAGTTTAATGGTGCAACATTAAATTTGGTACATACACTGTAAGCAGATTTGTTAATGGTCCAGGCCCGACTAAAATGTTGTCAAGAGTTTCGTCTTCAGATTGTGAGTTAGTGTAATGTATGAATTGGCATCATATAATTTTATTTAATTTCTTGTGAAAATAAATAGACAGTGGTGAAGAACTATAAAAATTTATTGAATTCAGAACACTATTTATATGGTTATGAATTCAGTCAAAACACTACTGTGTAGTTATGTCTGCCCACCTGGATGTCTACCTGGAGAGTGTTCTGAGGGTCAACGCCCTCGATGCCGGGCCCCAGACCAAGCCTACTATTGAATGGCCTGATTAACCAAGCTGTTGGTGTTAACCACACTAAGTCCAGCATAAGCACCGTAGCCTGGCTGATCAAGCACTCACTTAAGAAACCTGTCTACTTCTTTCTTGGAGACAGCCAGGGATATGTTAGTAATCCACCATATGTCAGAGGGAGGATGTTGAAAAGTCATAGCCCTTCAACACTGAATGAATTTTCCCAGTGTACTCATTGCACCCCTGCTTTTCATTGGGGGTATTTTGCACTGTCTGCCAAGCTTTTACTTTCATGGGGAATGATTTGTGTGTTCAGATTTGGGACCAGTTCTAGTTTCCTAGGTGTAGATTATAATGTATCTCTCTTGCCTACTTTCCAAGGAGTATATGGCAAGGGATTTCAAACATTCCCAGTAATTTAGGTGCTTGCCAATCTGTACAGGCAGTGAGGTTCTCTACACATTCACCAGGTCTGCAGTTTTGCCTGATTTGAACAGAGCTGTTAAATTACAGTAGTACTCCAGTATTATCATTGGCTTGGCATCACTTGTTTTGAAGGTTCTAGTTATTCAGCTTACCATTTTTTGTGAGGTTGTGATAGTGACACTGTTGTGATCCTTAAAGGTGTGATCTTCTGACATGATCACTCCATGGTCTTCCATATTAGTCTATGCTCTACTGAGCAATTTGAGTTTGTTTTATACTCTGATCCTGTTTTTATTTCCTTAATCTTTCCATAATGGAATAACCAAAACTTGTCCTTATTGAACATCATATTGTTGTCAGTGGTCCACTGGAAGACTTTGTTTATATCAGTTTGTAGGTTACAATGTCTTCAATGGATGCCACTCTCATACCTCTATCATTGTCTGTCTATATCAGATGCGAGAATGAAGAAGAGAGCAGGGGCCAATACTGTGTCTAGGGGAACAGAGATTTTCACTTTGGCAGCTTCCTATTCACTCTGTTCACTATTACCCTTTGGGTTCTATTCATTAGAAAATTAAATATCCATCTGCCTGCTTTTCTGTTTATTCCTTTTGTGAACTATTACACTATGGTCACACTTGTCAAAGGCCTCTTCAGAGTCATTGTAAATTTCATCTGCATTTTGCTTGTCTTCCACTGCATCTAAGACCATGTCATAATGATCAAGTAATTGTGAAAATAAACCTTCTCTAAATCCATGTGTTGTGATTATGAGTTATTTACTTGTTATTGACAATAGATACAGTCATGGTAATAATACAGTGGTACCTTGAGTTTCGAACAGCTCCCAACTTGAACAATTATGTAAGCGTATTTTTGTAAGTGATTTTGTAAGTGTATTTTTGGGGGTCTGAAACAGACTAATCTAATTTATATTATTCCTTATGGGAACAAATTCATATGGTAAGGCACTCAAACAGCTTTCTGGAATGAATTATGGCCAAAACTCGAGGTACCACTGTAATAATAATACAGTGGACCCCCACATAACGATATTATTTCAATCCAGAAGTCTGTTTGGGTGCCGTTATAGACCAAATTTGTTCCCATAAGAGATATTGTGAATTAGATTAGTCTGTTTCAGACCCCCAAAAATACACCTACAAAAGCACTTACAAAAATACACTTACATAATTGGTCGAGTTGGGAGCTGATTGTTATGCGGGGGTCCACTGTATAATATAATATCTTGATTTACTACAAGTACATGTACAGGGTATACAGGCCTAGCTGACATCAGTGACACACTACTACGTATATAGAAAGCCGCTTGTTATGCTGAGCATTTCGGGCAAATTAGGTCAATTTTGTCCCAGGATGCGACCTACACCAGTCGACTAACACCCAAGTACCCATTTTATACTGATGGGTGAACATGGACGGCAGGTGTCTTATGGAAACACATCCCTAATGTTTTCCAGCCGTACCGGAGGTGATTCGAACTCTGGACCTCAGTGTGTGAGCTGTGTGTGCTAGCAATTGAGCTACAGGACACCTTATGTGGTGGAGATAAGATATTTGTAGTTGAAATAAATATAACTTTTTTTGTAGAAGCACTATACAACTTTGCACTGTACTGTATGATTATTACTGGTTAAAGACTTCATGAATATAATATATGGCTTATGAATTTGAAATTGGATTTTTTGTGTATCAAGATTTGTCTTGTACAGTTTAGTGGCGATAGCATGGTATTTTAGTAACTGATATGAAATTATGTAGTGGAAGTGATGAGAGTTTTAATTAAGTGGATATATTTCTAATGTAATACAGAGAAAGAGAATTTAAGCAATTTTTTCCTGGTGCAGACGGCTCTGGGTCGACATGTGAACCATCACTTCAGTGTGACTGCGACTACTCCGTCTCCTAGGCCTCCCACTCAACCTTCACCCTCTAAGTTGATACGTAAAAATGGACGCAAGTGCCGATTCAGAAAAAAACCTTGGTCAGGTAGGTAATAAAGTAGGTTTTGTATTAAGTCTTTGAGAAGCAATCAAGGACTAATTGTGACTTTGCATTATATTGTATGTATAATTTTTTTAACACAGATGCCATATGAACAAGGATCTTGCTAATAGCTGTTTATGCAGTTTTGTAGATTAAGATATACTGTATAAATAATAATATGTTCTTTGTTAATATTAAGATTGAGAATGTTTCTGACATTTTGCTCCTCCTTCCTCAATCGCAGACTCAAGGGCTAAAGCTCCAGTCCGTAAGTAATATATTATATGAATAATGGCTGCTTACTAATTGTTTTATGTTGCCTATTACTCTTGTTTTGTTCTTAGGTGTTTTTGTGCTTATTCTTAGTGTGGATTTTTTCTTGTCAACATGTACTTGTATGATTATATCAACTTGATCTTCATTAATGGTGTTTGATTTTACATGAGAAATCCAAGATTATGTACAGTCAGGCTCTTGATTTTTTTTTTTAAATAGCTGAGAGGTGATTGTTATTAGATGTCTGGACTATTTGGAAAATTTGAATTGGAACCAAGAGGTTTCCATAATATGAAAAAGATACCCAACTAACCCACACATTGGAAAGTGCTTATGACAGTGTTTCGGTCTGACTTGGACCATTTACAAAGTGACACTTAACAGAAAAAGGAGATGGAGCCAGTAAATATAGGCCAGATGGCAGGGACAGGACAAGAGAGGTGGGAGGAGTAGTGAAGCAAATCCTGCTTACTTGATCTTGAACAAAAACATGTGTATGTAGTTCTTAGTAAATCTTCTTCTTTCAACGTACCAGCCGTATCCCACTGAGGTGGGGTGGCCCAAAAGAAAAAACTGAAGTTTCTCCTTTTAAATTTAGTAATATATACAGGAGAAGAGGTTACTAGCCCCTTGCTCCCGGCATTTTAGTCGCCTCTTACAACACGCATGGCTTACGGAGGAAGAATTCTGTTCCACTTCCCCATGGAGATAAGAGGAAATAAACAAGAATAAGAACTAGAAAGAAAATAGAAGAAAACCCAGAGGGGTGTGTATATATGTGCTTGTACATGTATGTGTAGTGTGACCTAAGTGTAAGTAGAAGTAGCAAGACGTACCTGAAATCTTGCATGTTCATGAGACAGAAAAAAGGACACCAGCAATCCTACCATCATGTAAAACAATTACAGGCTTTCGTTTTACACTCACTTGGCAGGACGGTAGTACCTCCCTGGGCGGTTGCTGTCTACCAACCTACTACCTATTCTTAGTAAATCATGCTATGATTTTTAGAGGATGTGATTGTAGTAGATCCATGGGATGTAGTAATTAGAGCGGCATAGGTGTTCATGTTGTGATGGTAGATAGAGCTGATGTGATTATGAGTGCATGGGTGCACAACTAGTAGGCCACTGAAGTACCAGCCTAGTTGACCAGGCAGTCAGCTATGCAGTCTGACCTTAGAAATTATATGCAAATTACGGAACCCAGAAATATAGACCAAGTTAATAGAAGAATCTAAAAATTACAACATACCTGATGATAAATCATGTCGGTTCTCTGAACCATTCATCTACAATACAACATACCTGTTGAATTCAAATTAAAGCTAAAACAAGTACAGTTGTGTGTTTAAATAAAGTAAATTCTGGCCTATCACTTTAAAATATAATTATTGAACAATTCTAATTGTAAACTAAGCTTTTATTGCAATTTTATAAGTTACAATTCAACCTTTTCCAACTTGTTAATTAATATTTAAAATTTTTTGTGAATGAATTTTGTAATTTGTATCCTATTATTTTTAGCTGTCTCCCACAATGTTTTGAACACAATGCCTTCAAATGTGCTGCAAGTGGTAAATTTTGGCCTAGACATGAAAGAGTGTCTGTGCAGTAAGTCCACAGTATAAAAATAATCTTGCCCCATGATGGGGAAAAACAAACCTCTGACCTTGTGTCTGGTTTAAAACAGCAGATTTGAGGTATTTTCCTAGGGTGGTTTCTATAGTTTCATTAACTGTTTCTTGGCATATGTTAATGAAATACATGATTTTAGTTAGTTTCTGACTGGAAATAGCTTGAAATAGGGCTCAAAGTGGCAGAAATATACAATTTTTGGTGATTTTCCTGGCCAGTTTTAAAGGTTTTCACTGGGCTAGCTTCAGTTATTGGGATGGCCAAAACCTTGACCAGTCATCCTTGGTTTTCCAAGAAATAGGTAAAACTTCAATTTTATTTTTTTGTGTAATGTATTAAAAATAGAGGGGAAAGTGTTATATAGGAGAGACCTGGTAAGCTAATTAATGAACTGAAAAAGTTGCTTTGGTGGCTAGGTTATCTGCAGTGTTTATTTTGGGCTCTGTAATTACATTGGATTATTTTTATTTTTGTGTAAAATTGGCTAAATTATTGGCTGTGTGCCGTATAGGTTTTTTTGTGCTCAGTTGACAGAATGGAAGGCATACTAACGAAGTAGTTATGAATCGGGTCAAATTGAGCATTGAAATTGGCTTAAAATAAAATTGAGTGAAATTGGTGATGCATAAATTGAGCCCAGACTTCCAACTTTGCGCCTGAGTAATTCTGTAAATTTTCCATGAAATTTTTCATTTTTGGTGTCGTTAAATTCAGAAAAAGATTCTTCCATTTGAGAAAATAATTTATTTTTTAAAATTCATGAAACTGCCACATCACGTTTAATTTTGGGGGTTGTGACAGCGAAAGGGTTAACTTGTTAGCATGTACATTGTACTAGATTCATAAGTATAAAAAACTCCATAGCAATATAGTCTTTTAGTGTTAATTAATATTAGACCTTGTTAAAGTTTGCCCAAAATGATATGCATACTATGATCCTTCAAATTATTGTACTATATGTACAGTGAATTAAACTATAATTATACTAATTTTATTATAGTATTATAATTAAATATTCACAACCACCGATCTGCAGTTTTTAGCAAATGAAATATAATTTGCACTATTTTTTCCTATAGAAGAATAGCTTGTTTTACAAACTACAGTACTTGTTGGTAAGTCACAAAGCCAGGAACTTAATTTGTTCATAAACTGGTATCTGATCAGTCTGCTTCTGTTCATCTATCTGGTATGTTCACCATTATTAAGGCTGCTCTTGCTTATCTTTAAGTTACCTGACAATGATTTTGTAGGTCATCACCCCTGTGGTCCTGTCCCAGACCAGGCCTTCTGGTTGATTGCCTGAGCAACCAAACTATTAGTGCCAGCTGTAAAAAATTCCAATGTAAGGACCACAGTCTGGCTGACCAGGATCTAACAACAAACTTATCCTGTTCCTTCTTGAAGACAGCTAGAAGTATGTTGGCAGTTTTCGTAATATATGAAGAGAGGGTGTTGAAAAGTGTTTTCTCTTTGTACTTAGTTGGGTCATCTGTTGATGTACTCATTACACCCCTGCTTTTCATCCAGGGTATAGTATTTTCCACTATCTGCTGAGTCTCTTGCTCTCTCGGGGAGTGATTTTGGTGTTCAAATTTGTGACCGCTCACTGTAGAATTTCCCGTGTAAATTATGATGCATCTTCCTTGCATACACTGCAATGAGTAGAGTTTAAGGGACTTGGAGCATTCCCAGTAATCCAAGTGTGTAACTGAATTTATATGAACAGTAAAACTTTTCTACCTTCTCCAGAGCCACAGTTTTGCATGCCTTTAATAGAGCTGTTAGTGTGTAGCAGTATACATGTATTTCAGTGTAGAGAGAACATGTGACTTTAAAGTATCATCATTGGCTTGGCAGCTTTTGTTTTTAAGGTTCTAGTTATCCAGCAGTTTTAATAATAACACTGATCACAAAGATACTTTGCTATTTTGCCTTTTGTTTTTTTTACATTCAAAGCCTTGATGTGCTCACTTTGCTTTGCATTTTCTTTATACACCTTTGTCAGTGGCACAAAATTTTGTTTAGTCACTTGCGTTTTTCCACTAAACTTACGCCATTGTATTTTTCTATTAATGCACTGTTATACATACATACATACATACATCTTTCAACAAACCGGCCGTATCCCACCAAGGCAAGGTGGCTCAAAAGGATAAAGGCTTCTCCTTTTAAATTTAGTAATACGTATGTACAAGAGAAGGACTTGCTAGCCCCTTGCTCCTGGCATTTTAGTCGCCTCTTACGACATGCATAGCTTATGGAGGAAGAATTCTGTTCCACTATACATCATCATCTTTCAACAAACCGGCCGTATCCCACTGAGGCAGGGTGGCCCAAAAAGAAAAACAAAAGTTTCTCTTTTTAAATTTAGTAATTTATACAGGAGAAGGGGTTACTAGCCCCTTGCTCCCGGCATTTTAGTCGCCTCTTACAACACGCATGGCTTACGGAGGAAGAATTCTGTTCCTCTTCTCCATGGAGAAAAGAGGAAATAAACAAGAACAAGAACTAGAAAGAAAATACCAGAAAACCCAGAGGGGTGTGTGTATATATATGCTTGTACATGTATGTGTAGTGTGACCTAAGTGTAAGTAGAAGTAGCAAGATGTGCCTGAAATCTTGCATGTTTATGAGACAGAAAAAAGGACACTAGCAATCTTACCATCATGTAAAACAATTACAGGTTTCGTTTTACACTCACTTGGCAGGATGGTAGTACCTCCCTGGGTGGTTGCTGTCTACCAACCTACTACCTAGGTCCACTGTACATACATACATATATACCAAAACAGAATCCTTCAAGCAGTAGCAGATATTAAAGCAAATGAAAGTAATTATAAGAAACAATTCAGTGATAAACTAAACCTAAAATTTTACCTTTATACCATGCTCAAAAAGTACAATACTAAAAGAACAAAAATTTGTTTCATTAATACAAAAATAACACTTAACATTAGAGTATTCTGAATATATTGTACTATGCAAAACAACCACTGTGAAAGAATAATGAAATTCCAAGTGCTTTTGTGACTTCTCACATTATCAACGAACTATAAAAACAATACATCAAAGAAAGACATATAAAGGGTCAAGTCTACACCTCACCATCACATCCCACAACAAAGAAACACCTGACATGTGACGACACCCGACTCGTAAGAAAGGAGGAACACTGCAGCAGGCCTGTTGGCCCATACTAGGCAAGTCCTTTGCAGTCCATCCCACTAACAAAATATTAGCCCAACCCTAGTACTCTACTCAAGAATTAAGAGATATTATTTGTTTAATGTATTATTAAATTCTTCTCAAATTTTATTAATTATAAATTATACTTTGTTTATAGGAGGCAGGG